AGCAGCAGCAACCCCTGAAGGAAAGGGATCTGGGACACATACACAGAGGCTGGGACTGGGAAAGGACCAGGACAGGCAGAATTCAGACCTCGCCAAGGGAGGCCAGCACTATAAGAAACGAGGCAGCCTCCCCCACATACAGATTCCCATTGGCATTGATGCGTGGAAGTGCTGAGGCACTTGTGCGCTATAGTGCAGGGAGTTGGGCGCTGAAGGAGAAGCTGCGCCAGAGAGGAAATGAGCTGGGCACTGGCTGCAGGGAAGCCATAGCTGCGCCAGCCTATGTAAGTAGTAGTAGGGTTAGTAAGTAGTGGGATATCTGTGAGTGACATTCAGAGTAGATCTTCGTAGGTGAGAGTGTGCGTGCATAGTGAAGGCAAGAGAACCAAGACAAAGTTATTGAGAGAGAAGAGAGCAAGAGAGAGAAGACAGGGAGTGAGCCTGGATATGGTGGACACTTACCTGTTGGCGCCACGCTTGTGATCTGAAGGACAACGCTAGCTGAGCCAGGTCCCACGCTGTTGTATGACGAGGGAGACTTACCTCTTGTTGGCGCTGAACTCCGGAACTCATAATACTCTTTGTATTAAGTGACATTGACAATATAAGTTGCGCTACTTGGTTCTTATCTCATCTCAATCTGGTTTTGTGTGAGGCCACTTTGTACGTGTGATGACATGTATGCATGCGGTTTGATGCACTCGAGCAAGATGTGAACAGTCAGGTTCCTTGCACTTCAGGATTTCTTCTTTAGCATCCTGCAATAGAAACTTTCTGTCGTCAATGCTTATCTTACTCGATCCATATAGAGACTTCAGTGCGATTTCTTCCTGGGTCATTTCTGATTTCCAAGGGGTGAGCATTGCCTTTCGCAGAATTAAAGATTTTCAACAAATTGCGTCAGTGATTACAGTATCAAGAGTGGAAAAACATAATCGCTTTCATTCCTCGTTTGGTTGTGTGAGCACTTTCATCGTTTTATCTTTTTTTTCTTTTTTCGTTGTCTGACATGGCTTTCCTTTTATCAATTGTTTCCGTATATTAAACCACCACTACCTTTCTCAGTGTTGGGGAAAACGGGAATGTATGAGTGAGCACTTTCATCGTTTTATCTTTTTTTTCTTTTTTCCTTGTCCGACATGGCTTTCCTTTTATCACTTGTTTCCGTATATTAAACCACCACTACCTTTCTCAGTGTTGGGAAAAACGGGACTGTATGTCACACAACATTTTTCGGGGGTCCCGAGGAGGCTATAGGAAAAGAAAGTGTTTGGGCCTTGTGGGCCTGTACAACAAAAAATAAAGGGAAAAAAAAGCCACAGAGGGAAAAGGAAGGACGTCGGGGTAGGTTGTGAAGGTGGTGTGCTCACATCAGTGCTTGAAGAAACGTATCTACCCAGAATAACAGCTAGTTCCGTTTCTTTTTTTCTTTTTCTTTTTCCTTGTCGTTATAGTGCCCTGCCAACCAGCCAGGGCGGAATCCACAGACAACTGACACTTTGCAACGGAGGGGGCACTCTCACATGTACTCAAGATTTTGTATCCAGTTGTTTTCACGTCCCTAGAGATTGTTTTTTGTTTCCCCTTCTTTTCTTTCCTCCAGTAACGGCCCGTTGGAGGGCATACTGTCACATGTGCCCGCAATTCTGTATCCAGCTGCTTTCACGTCCAAAGAGTTTTTTTTTTTTTTTTGGCTCTTGGTTGATCCTGGATGTGCTTCCCTTATTACAGGAGGGTTGTAACGCCCGTCGCTAGGGCACACTCTCACGTGTACCCCGGATTCTGTATCTAGCTGCCTTCGCGTCGCTAGTGATGTTGCTCTTTTTTCTTTTTTCTGCTTTTCATTTCCGTCGAGAACCAGAAAAGAAAGCACAATGGGACCCAGGCTCGACAAAACTCCGTGCACAGTGCAATTCAGGGTCGGTAAAAACAGGATGGAGGTAGTGGTGGTTTAAGACAAGGATTCTCACAATTTATGATCGAGCTTTTCATTGACTTTAGATCACCGCACAATCCGGTCCATAGTGGGATCATGGCACATGAATCAACCCCCTTCTTTCCCAACCACTTATGCACTTCGAAACTCGGCTTCCTCGCATCTCTCTTATGCTCAACCCACCTATCCACAATCCTCCTCATTGTCTGTCCTATATAGGTAGCCTTGTGGGAAGGTGAAATCAGGATATACACACATGATCCACCGTCTAGTAGTTGATTGCCATCTAAGACAGACCCATACTTGACAAATGTCATTCCCCATTTCATGTAACCGTGCACCGCTCCCGCTAACACACCCAACTTATACACTTTACTCAACCCGTTTCTAATTTTGAAGGTAAAATGTGATCCGAGCGCATTATTCCCCAACAGGCTTGAGATTCTCCTCATAGCACGTCACAATGCTCTCTTTGAGGGGTAAATCAATTTCCCGTACTGTCGTCATCGTCCTCTTCGTTCGACTTGTCACTCCTGGACTTTTCTTTGTCATCTTCGTTACTTGATTCCTCAGAGTCGCAAGGGTCTTCGCGATTGACCAGCTTCGTGAATTGTTTCCGCGTCCTGCTTGGCCAGCTCCCAAGCTATCTTGTCCTTCTTTTTGCCCTTAATATCATGCTTCGCGCCTAGTGCTTTCACATCCTTGACGTTAATTCCCATATAGCAATCCAATCTCTTTTTCACGTACTCTATCACATCCACCTCTCTTTTTTTTTCCTCAACGCCGCCATTCGCAGTGGATCCACCCCCTATTCCACAATCCTCTTTCCCTTTCCCTTTTATCTTTCTCTTTCTTCTCCTCATCAATGTCCCTTTGAAGCGCTCGAGTAACATCGGTGGCCTACTCCTATTTAATCTTGCCATCTTTCCCGACGATCACGCCGAGTAATGTCAAGATTTCATCAAGCTTAGAATTCTCTGCGTGCGCGCTAAGCGCATGCCTTACGCCCATGCCCCAATTGGTGTGAATCTTCTCCTTTGTGTCCTCGTCATCGGAAGAGATCAAAATTCGCGGTTGTCGAATCACGACACCCCGTCCACCTCTCTTCGTTTGTGAGCGCAACTTTGACTTACTCAGTGCCGAACAACTAACATCCCTCCTTCGTTTTTCATTATTGTTGGTGCCTCCTTTACCGCCCTCATCCTCCGATTCTTCCATCCTCGCTTTTCCTTTTGACTTTATGTCGATCTCCTCTATTTTTTATGAGATTTTATCGAGGGAGCTTCCGAAGGTAGAGGTGTTATGACCCTGGCCAATTTCGAGATACACATCCACTGGAAAGTACAATGCCATCCAATTGCAAAAAGAAATGACTGAACTTGAGAGGGGAGAGAGGAGTAGAAGAAGAAAAAGACGTAAGAAAGAAGAAGAAGAAGACGTAAGAAAGAAGAAGAAGAAGATGTACACCAGCAAAGACAATGAGATCTCCTCCTCCTTATCTCCCCCTTCTCTTATTCATACAAGAAATAATAATAGAATGTTGAATGACTGGGCCAGAATCATGTCCGAGTCCCTCTTCTACTGCAGGTATCACTCAAGGTCCACCATAGCCATGGCCGCCTCTCCCACTCTTCACTCTCATAAGCCGAGGCTATGGCGGACTACTAGGCCTTACTCAGATGTCCAAAGGACAACCCAGAGCAGCTATGGCTGCTCCAGCTCAGGCCGCCATGCCCAGCCTTGCCTTGAAGCTTCTTGGTGTGACTCCCCCCGGCTGGGGACTCCTTGCTGTAGCGCCCACCAAGGTGATGAAGATGGCTGCCACCATAGCCAGGTAAGTACCCCTGGCGCCCCTCCCCCTTCCTTCCTCCTTCCTACTTCTTCCTCCCTCATGTCCTTCTCTTGCCTCCCTAGCAGCACTACCCCAGCTTAGCGCTGCTCCAGCCAGCGCTCCACCAATGTGTCGCCAAACTTGCTCACCGAAAAAGAGGCCGGGTCTTCCGCTCGGCCGGAAGATATAGCGGGCCTGCTTTGCCTCTTGGGCGGTGACTTCCAGGCCGCTGGCCTTCCCAAGCAACCGATACCTCCTCCTCTTTTGGAGGGAACATCATTGCAGACTCTGATATTGCCCCTACAGGCCCTAGACTCAGACTGGTACCCGCTAGACCTAGCCTACACTACCGGCCTCTAAAAATGCCACTTTTGTCTTCTTCTGCTCGGCCTCCGGTACCTGCATATTTAGCCCCCCTGCCGGGTGCAGTACCGGCCTACCCGCTACTTGAGTGCTTTTTCCCCGCTGCAACCCTTCGAAGCCACGACCACAGGTAAGTACCGGCCCTGAGGGCCCAACGAAGAAGCAAGTGCCCTGGCGGGCCACTCACACACTCATACCAACCAGCACTCAGACAGGCACAGTCGCACACACGCAAGCCAACCAGCACTCAGACAGACATGCAGTCCAGCAAGCACACACACAGACTTAGCAGGCGGGGAACTCGGTAGGGCATTCAGTCTATGAGCAAAACTCAGAAATCAGTTGTGTTTCGGTCCGTGTTTGGACGGGTTATCACACTACCCCCCCCTCAAGAGCGAGGTCCCTTCGAGCGAGTAACTCATTCCGAGTCCTCGACAAAGGCATCGTAAGCGAGCAAGGCAAAGAGATTCCTGGAATACTCTATTGCAGTGAGCCTTGCTGAGATCTTCGATGTGGCGTTAGCAGCGATTTGTCGCTCGTAGGCTTTAACAACGCGCGGTGCGCTGCGTAGCAGTTCTTGTTTGGAGATCCGGTAGAGATCGTCTAAAGGGTGATACATGAAATGAACTTGGTACTGTCTGTTTCTCCCCTTACCTACATGCTGTTTAATTCTATCTATCTCATGCCCGCCCTTGATTGCGCGAGGGATCATATCTTCGCGGTAATCGAATGTCTCGGCATCACGGTGGAGGTACAGTTTAGATGCATGGAACACAGGATATGTGCGCAGGTGAGCTGGCACGTCTACAACGTACGAAGGGCCAAAGTGATCTTCCCCAATTACATTTTGAACTTCCAAAGGCCCGTAGTAGAGTGGGAAGGGTTTGCGTGAGACTCCCTCCTCCTCTAAGAATTCAGACATCTTCACCCAGACATAGCTTCCTACATGAATCTCCGATGGTCGTCGCTTTTTGTTGGCATGGTGGATCATGGCATGTTGTCGCTTGGTCATAGCTGCAACAACAACTTTGAGCAAGTGATCATACTTAGCCCTGAAGCCGGGCCTGTCGGATGTTAAGCCAGCTGGTTGCTCAGCGAATAAGTAGGAGAGCGAATTACGGACTTGCCAACCGTAGTGCAACCTGTTGGGTGTCATGGCGGTGGCAGAATGGACGGAGTTGTTGTACAACCCCTTAACAGAATACAACTCCTCATCCCATGTCTCTTGGTCCAGAATAATCAACGCGCAGAGAAGTTGAAATACAGTCTGGTTGATCTCCTCAGCCAAACCGTTGGCTTCGGGGTGTCGGCCAGATGTCATGCACAGTTTGATTCCTAGGTGAGACGTGAAATCCTTCCATTCAGTGCTAATGAAACGCAGATCCCGATCACTCACAAGAGTCTTCGGGGTTCCAAATTGCAGCAGGTATTTCTGTTGGAATTCGCGAATCACTAGATCTGTTGGGGCGTGGAGCGGCAAAGGGATCAGATTCAGAAATTTTGAAAATCGGTCAACAATCACCATGACTTGTGAATACCCGTTTTTGCTTACCTTACCCATGTCAGTGAAATAGATGGAGACAGACTCCCCGGGACCATCAGGAATGGGTAGGGGTGTGAGTAGCCCCATGGGTTTTTGTGTGCATGGTTTGATCCGTTGACAGACTTGACATTCAACCACAAATTTCTCAACAGTCCCTTTCATGCCATGCCAATCAAACTGTCTCAACAAATTAACGTACGTTTTAGCCATGCCGAAGTGCCCGCTCCGGCCATGAGCCAAGTCCACAAAGTGTGCGCGGAGAGGCTCATGGTTGGGCACACACAAACGGTCATGGTTCCCGTAGCGACGGGAAATCAGTCCTCCATACTTGTGGAAATCAGGCTGACTACTAGGATTAGCCCGCAGCTGCTCAAGGATGGAACTAAGTTCCTGATCCTTGGTTGTCTGCTCTACGAGCTCCTCTTTCAGTTTCTTCCGGAGGTCGTAGGATTTCACGAGGCAAGTCATGTACTCAGGGTGGCGAGACAATGCGTCAGCGACTCGATTGTAACCCTTTTTGTGTCTTAATTCGAAATCGAAGATGTCAATCTCATGGAACCAGCGAAGCAAGGTAGGGGACAGAGTAGTTTGCTGTATGATCCACTTCAAGGTCTCATGATCTGAGAAGACTTTGAAGTGGCATCCCAAAAGATAATGTTTCCAGTGATCCAACGCCATATGCAAAGCATAGAGCTCGCGCATGTAGGTGGAAGTGGCTACCTTTACGCTGGGCATTCGTTTGTTGTAGTACTCAAGTGACCGCAGGCCATCGCCGTCATCTTCTTGCAGCACTGCACCGATTCCATACTGACTTGCATCCGTAGTAACTACGAATGTCAGTTTGGGATCTGCAATGCGGAGTACTGGGTAACTTACCAAGGCTTCCTTGAGAGTTCGAAAAGCTTCCGTACACGCGGCATCCCAGGAATAAGGCACATTTTTACTGGTTAGTCGCGACAATGGACGAGCACTGATAGAGAAGCGGGGCACAAACTTTCGATAGTAGGACGCGAGACCAAGGAAAGAACGCAATTCGCGAATGTTCGCAGGCTGAGGCCAATCGCGTATGACCTCAATCTTGGTTGCCTCAGGCTCTAGGCCTGCAGCAGACAACCAATGCCCAAGATAGATGACGCTATCCTTCCCAAACTCAGATTTCTCCAAGTTGAGATGGAGTTGTGTCTTCTTGAGGATAGCGAGCACCTCCTCAAGATGCTTGAGATGTTCCTCCATGGACTTGCTGAAGATCAGAATATCATCCAGGTACACTACCACAAACCGACCAATCTGTTCGCGGAGGACCTTGTCCATGAGGCTTTGGAAAGTGGCTGGTGCATTCGTAAGACCGAAGGGCATTACGGTGAACTCATGTCGCGTGTTTTGAACGCAGTCTTGTGCTGGTCCGCAGGATCGACTTCAATCTGGTGGTAGCCAGACTTGAGATCGATCTTGGAAGAGACCTTGCACCCGCCTGCGGCATCAAGCAAGTCATCTATACGAGGCAATGGATAAGCATTCTTTCTTGTGATGCGGTTTAGACCGCAATAGTCAATACACATGCGGAGCTTGCCTCCGTTCTTTGGCACAAACAACACAGGAGCACCAAATTCAGATTCACTTGGTTTGATCCACCCTTTGTCAATCATCTCATCGATCTGTCGCCGGAGTTCCTCCAACTCGCCGGGTACCATACGGTACACGCAGCCCTTTGGAGGAACCGCACCCTCGACCAACTCGATGGTGTGTCGGACCGGTCGCGTGGGGACTCCACGTGGCTCGGCCAGGACTTCCGAAAACCGATCGAGGAGGGTTTGGATGTCTGATGCGACAGGTGGGGGTGGGGAATCAGCAAAGGGATCACCAGGATCCGATCGCAAGTCACGTATAGAGACGAGCGAATCTGAAGTAGGATCATTTGGACTATTAGAGGGTAGAGAGGTAGAGGTGCTAGTAGTAGAAGTACCGGAAGTAGGATCATCAATCAAAATAGTAATGGTATTAGCCGCAAAAGTCGAAGGCACATGAGCAGGACGAACAAAGGCAACATACAACTGTTCGTCCTCTTTGTCCTTGCGCCACTTCTTGCAGAACTGCATAGCATTCAGAAAAGTCACTGGGGATTCGCGCTTCTCATCCAAGAGGACAGGAAGCTCGTTCCCCTGAGCATCTTTGCCCATGAAGAGTGATTCCTTCCACTTGGTCCATTCGCATTGGGACTGCAGCCAGCCCAAGCCAAGGACGGCGTCGAAGGGGCACTTGTCAAGGACAAAGAAGTTCAATGTGTGGGTGATAGTCTTGCCTTTGTCAAAGGTAGTGCGCACACCTTTGACTGCATGTGTTGAAGAGACAACTTCCTTGTTGCCAACTTGGGTCCGACAAGGGTTCTGCAGGACCACTTGCTTCATCCCCAAGCCCACCTTGCGTATCCCATGTGGTGACATGAAGTTAGCTGTAGCACCGCAGTCAACCAACACACGGAGATAGCGGTGGTTTATGAGAAGTTTAAAGAAGATCAACTTCACTGTCCCTTGGGCACGCTGCTGTTTCATCTCAGCCCAATGGTCCAAGTGGTAGTGGAAATCAACCATCTCAGACTCCTCCCAAGGCTCGACATACAAGACATTACTTACCTCAGCCTTGTCTTCAGTAGATGGTTGGGCTTCAAGGGAGGGCTGCTGATTTTCAACAGAACCGGACTCCCCTGCTGTAGAGTTTGCTGAAACTAGCTCTACGCCCGATTCTGGTTTCCCTGCAGCTTATAACAGTCCTGGACCTTATGATTTGGTTTTGGGCAATGCAGGCAAACCCCTTTCTTGAGTCTGCCCCACCAGTCATTCTCAGTGATCCGGAGGTCAACCCAAGGTTTGGTGGTTGCATCCTTCGGTTTAGGCGGGATCTTAACTCCTTTGGGAAGTTTGACATAACTTTTCCCGGCACTCCGATTCGGTCCCTTAGCACTGGCAGTCTTTTTGAAGGCAGAAAATTTTTCTTCTTCTTTATTTGCATCTCATGGGCTGAAGAACAAGCTGTATCGGAGTCCTGTTCTTGGTCATCACCAAGAGTGGGGTCATCCGCATCGGCTTCTTCTTCGGCCTCCAGCAGGTCATGCACAGCCAAACGGCTGCTGCCCTTGAACCGTCTGCCGCCCATGGGCTTTTTGCTGCCTGCCGTGCTAACGAGGTCTACAGCCTCCAAACTGACTATGTCCTTCATTAGGATAAGCCAGTCAGTGTATGCAATGTAGTCCCTGCCCAGGCGATTAGTGAAGTTAGTTGGAACCGCACCCTTAACCACATCTAAGCAAGACTGAGCAGTTCATTCCAAACCAGGAGTAGCGAACAACTTGCTAAGATAAGTTTGCAGGCTTTTCATGCAGCCTGTCCACTTGCTGCGCTTGACTTTGTCAAGCTGATTTCTTGCCCTTGTTGCAGCATGTGGATCTTGGTATTGGGAGATGAGGAGTTCTTCGAGGGAGGCAACCGGGGTGGTCCTAAGCCATTTGGCTAGTGCAGTCTTTTGGAACCCAACCCGCGTTGCTTGGACTTCTAGGAAGCCCCGTACGACCGGCTCGACATTCATTCCCATGATCACTGCCTGGTTCTCAGGTTGAGTTCCCAGAATCTCAAAGTAGGCCCTCATGGAGCCGATCCAGGACTCAATGTCTTCCTTGCCGTTGTACTTAGACGACATTTGTACCGCGGTCCACATAGGGACCGGCGTAGCTGGGACCAGCAACAGCTGGTTCCACTCTTGGGGCTGCAGCAGTTGCAGAAGTTCCAGCCTCATTGCTTGTTACAGCAACAGCGGAATCTGCACCTGCTGCAGGTCCCGAGGGGGTTACCATCACACTCGAAGAAGAGGTAGAAGAAGATACAGTGAGAGGGGCAAAGGTAGTTTCGATTGCAGCTTCAGATTCAGGGGGTAGAGGAAGAGGGGTTGGCCACTTGGGCTCGTCGCAGGTCAGCCACCTCCCTTGCCAATTGATGGTACTTGCGGGTCATCTCGGTCAGATCATCTTGAAGTGTCTGCAACTTTGCGAAGACTTCAGCGATCTGAGTGGTATGGTCCTCAAGATTCCTAACTTGAACAAAGGTTGTAAGGATGGACTGCAACTGTTCCCCACACTGCTCTTCAGTCAGTGAGGGGACAGTATCTAGGAGGGCCACTTGCCTTTTCAGCAAGGTCTCCTTCCTCTCCTTCTCTGTCTCCTGTTCCCTTTTGATTGCACTGTCTAAGATTGCTTGCAGATAAGGTTTCTCAGCACCATTGGCTGCATCTAACAAGGCCCGACATTAACTGAAGTTAGTTGAGCCATTATTGGATTGTCAGTGTGGGCAGGTGGGTCAGAGAGTCGCCAATCAGCAAAAGAATCAATAAGACTCTCAAGAGGTTCACTTCCCCTCCCGCTTGGACGAAGACTCCTTTTTCCAGTCCTAGCCCACCTCAGACGATCACTTTCCCTCTCTCCCTGTTCTCTCTCCCTCCTCTCTCTTTCTTCTTTCAAGTTGCGAGTCTCCACGGGCATCGGAAATGAACTCAGAAAAACAGACTGAAAAGCTCGGAGAAGAGAAGGTAGAACTCCTAGCCGGAGCGGCATTTCATTTGCAAGTAGAGAGCAGCAGAAGAAACAAACAATCTCATCGAGAGGTCTGATCCAGCGACCCAATCTGATCAGACTGCATACGAGGTCCTCTCGAGTCCAGTCTGACCAGCTCCGTGACCGTACAACAAATCAGACAACGAGTAACTAAATGCAACAATGGAGAATTGAGTGGTGTACAGGGTGCGAGTCAGGCCACGGACAGTGCAATCAGAATACATGCGAAACGTCAAAGCCAAGATCCCCTCGACAGTGGGTGTCCTAATCCAAGAAGAATGAACTCGTATCCCAGCCAAGAAGACAAGAGGTCAATGCCTTAACCGATTTGGGTCCAGAGGCTATTCTTGTTTGGGCCCGGTCCCGCTGGGTCCCAAGGGTCTTGCTTGTTCCCAAGGGTCCCACGTAGGTCTCAACCAGGTCCCAACCAAGAGGAGTCCCACCTGAACTTAACTCTCTACTGCTGAAAAACGAAATTTCAACTTTTGGCAGGACCTACAGACTACAACCGTTCAGAGATGAAAAGACAAAGCACTGTAGAAAGACTCGGCATGTATAACAAGATACTTCATTTTCCATCCATCAGGTGAGTAGGCAGATCACATGCATTCCGTCACACAATCAAGACCACAGAGGAGTAGGAAAAGAAACCCAGAGTACCCCAGCAGGACAATCAATACCATACACACATACATGGGCATCCCGCAGGTGCACGACACTTACCTGAGTGGCCTTGAGCTTCGAGATGAATAGAACTCACCCCCCTTCTCCTGTGGTCCTCCTGACCCCTCTAACGCTACCCCTACACTAGTGTCCTATCTCCTAGGAGGGTCTGACTCCAACACTCAATTGCAACGTCGGATCCCCCGTCGATGCTGAAGATCAAAGTAGCAACTTGCAGTCATGCAGAATGGCCGCTGGCCCTCAAGCTCGCCTACTTGAGGGCAGCCCTTAAGTTGCCAAGTGTCTCCCTTGAATCAGATTCCAGGTGCGAGTGCCTCTCACTGTCGCCTTTCTCAAATCGCCGCATGAAGTCTCCTCGAAATGTCTCGCCACCCTAATCTCACTCTCAAGCAACCTGGTTAGGTTCTATGTYGACCCCRCATGACCTAACCRGGTGGGGGCAGCYTCCCTTAGCCACGCTGCCCCACTTCCCTCAACCAWCCAACCCTAACCCTAAGTGTTGCCCTCAACCACTTAGGTTAGGGTTAGGGCAGCAAGTCAACTCTCACCACGAAGTAGAATCCGCTCTGATACCAATGTTATGACCCTGGCCAATTTCGAGATACACATCCACTGGAAAGTACAATGCCATCCAATTGCAGAAAGAAATAAATGAACTTGAGAGGGAAGAGAGGAGTAGAAGAAGAAGAAAAAGTAAGAAAGAAGAAGAAGAAGTAAGAAAGAAGAAGAAGAAGATGTACACCAGCAAAGACAATGACAAGGCTTTTCTTCTTCGCCCAACAATCTCCTCCTCCTTATCTCCCCCTTCTCTTATTCATACAAGAAATAATAATACAATGTTGAATGACTGGGCCAGAATCATGTCCGAGTCCCTCTTCTACTGCAGGTATCACTCAAGGTCCACCATAGCCATGGCCGCCTCTCCCACTCTTCACTCTCATAGGCCGAGGCTATGGCGGACTACTAGGCCTTGCTCAGATGTCCAGAGGACAACCCAGAGGAGCTATGGCTGCTCCAGCTCAGGCCGCCATGCCCAGCCCTGCCTTGAAGCTTCTTGGTGCGACTCCCCCCGGCTGGGGACTCCTTGCCGCAGCGCCCACCAAGGTGATGAAGATGGCTGCCACCATAGTCAGGTAAGTACCCCTGGCGCTCCTCCCCCTTCCTTCCTCCCTCCTCCTTCCTCCCTCATGTCCTTCTCCTTCCTCCCCAGCAGCACTACCCCAGCTTAGCGCTGCTCCAGCCAGCGCTCCACCAGTGTCTCGCCAAACTTGCACGCCGAAAAAGAGGCCGGGTCTTCCGCCTGGCCGGAAGATATAGCGGGCCTGCTTTGCCTCTTGGGCGGTGACTTCCAGGCCGCTGGCCTTCCCAAGCAACCGGTACCTCCTCCTCTTTTGGAGGGAACATCATTGCAGACTCTGATATTGCCCCTACAGGCCCTAGACTCAGACTGGCTGCCGACCTCTAAAAATGCCACTTTTGTCTTCGTCTGCTCGACCTCTGGTACCTGCATATTTACCCCCCTGCCGGATGCGGTACTGGCCTACCCGCTACTTGAGTGCTTTTTCCCCGCTGCAACCCTTCGAAGCCACGGCCACAGGTAAGTACCAGCCCTGAGGGCCCAACGAACGAACGAGTGCCCTGGCGGGCCACACACACACTCATACCAACCAGCACTCAGACAAGCACAGTCGCACACACGCAAGCCAACCAGCACTCAGACAGACATGCAGTCCAGCAAGCACACACACAGACTTAGCAGGCGGGGAACTCAGTAGGGCATTCAGTCTATGAGCAAAACTCAGAAATCAGCTGTGTGTTTCAGTCCGTGTTTGGACGGGTTGATCGAAAGTAGCGAGGATAGGCTTAAGGACTCCTCCCTCAGCTTGACTCACCATCTTCCTTGCCTTCTTTGATTGCATTGTGTGTTTTCCATTTCTCTATCAGCTCCAAGTGTTCCTTTGTGAACCAGGCTCAATTCCTTGGTTCCGAAAACTCTTTGGTCGATGGAGGTCTCGACGAGCCAAATTGGCCCCATCCACCCTGCCGACCGTACAGAGGGGGAAAGTAACCTGGTTGGTACATCCGCATCGCCATCGGGTGTGTCATATGGTGTGTCATAGGATGCACCATTGGTTGCACCACTGGTACAAGTGTTGTTGACGGAGTAGTCAATTGGGCCGCAAAGTTGTCTGAGCTACTGCTATGACGATGGGGGCCGGAGGCTTCGGCATGCCTACAGGGTACTCCATCCAATAGCAGAGGCAACCTGACCACCTTCCTCTTCCTCTTCCCCGTTCGAACATACGCTTTAAACTGTCTTGATCTTCGAGCAAGACGCTTGAATCTCGTTTTCTTCGAAAAACACCAAGCATTCACCGAGATGTCGCAGCACGCGCTTCTCCTTTGGACGCCAGGTGAAATCCTTCGATGGCCCACCCAGCTCGAAATTTTCTTAATGGAATTCTGATATATTGTTACGATCCTGGTCATTCCCAAAGTCCGCCCAACTGCGAAAGAAATGAAAGCACTTGCAAAGAGATAGATAGAGACCAGCAAATTTACAATGAAAGACAATGTCACCCAACTGTGAAAGAAATGAAAGCACTTGCAAAGAGATAGATAGAGACCATACATGAGAGAAAGAAGAAGAAGAAGAGGAAGAAGAAGAAGAGGAAGAAGAAGAAGATGTTCACCAGCAAGACCAATGACAAATCCCCCTTCTCTCTCCACCTTCCCCCTCCTCATTGACTTCGCCAATCTTAATTCTTCTTCCAAATAATAACATTAACAATGAGTGCATGAACCACAATAATTATCCGAGTTCCCTCTTACTACTAGCACAACAATAGGTCCACCATAGCCATGGCCCCTTCTTCCTCCTCTCACATGCCAAGGCTATGGCAGACTACTCCAACTGGGCCTTTCAGATGCAGCGCCTATCAACGTGATGAAGATGGTGTCCACCATAGCTAGGTAGATACCTTGCCACTCTCCTCCTACCCTTTCTTCCTCCTCTTAGGCTGGGCTGCTCGCCACAGCCAGGCTGAGCGCCCAGCTGCTCTCCTTTCTCCAGGCAAGACCCCAAATCCAACGCTTGGCTCCAGCAGTATGTCGCCAATCCTTGCACACCGCAAATGAGGAGCTACTTGCTCCTCCAAAAGACATAGCGGCCTACTTGTGTTGCATACCGTAACGGTGCAGACCAGAACAAGAACCGGCCTCTCTCACAAAGTACAAGATAGCGTAGCGGAAGACTTAGATGCCAATGATCCGAACAATCAATGTTGCAATGCAGCCCCAAACATACATCATCATCATCATTCCATGGTGTGAAGGGGCCTGGCGCCTGGTGCTCACACAGGAAGAATGTGTCAGTCCCCAACCATACACAGACAAAGAAGAGGGGGATTAGACGAAGAAGAGGGAAAGATGGGAATGTCGTCAACACCAAGTCTTCGACACAGGCCCAAATAGTCCCTTGTCAAATGTCTGAATCCCAATGTCGAGTCTGGATCCAATGTCGTCAAGTCCCAAAGTCACAACTCTCTCTCTCTCTCTCTCTCTCTCTCTCTCTCTCTCTCTCTCTCTCTCTCTCTCTCTCTCGTAGTCCGCAGATACTGAGAAGTCAGGTAGTGAGAGGGTGAATGGTGGACTTAGAAGAGGAAGAAGAAGAACTGTCTCTCTCTCTCTCTCAGTCTGGTACTGACCCGTGAAGTTGGCGCCTTGATGCAAGTACCTCGAAGATGAAGCTGGAGCTATGGCGCCACAGGTGAGTCCCCCTGGCCTCCGGCAGTCATCTCCCTCTCCAACGCTACTTTAACACTACCAGTGCCCAGCGCTGAAGACTACAACTACAGCTACTAGTGCCTAGCGCTGAAGACTACTGCTAGCGCTAGCGCTCCTCCTGCGGCGCTCCTCCAGAGTGCTGCTGCCGTATCCTGAAGACTACTCCTGCCTTCTGCCTACTCGTGAAGTGCATGTGAACTCCCTATGTACTACCTCGGTCTGCCTCCTGAATGCCTGCAGTTGCAGGGTGGGGCAGTCCAGGAGGCTGCGCTTGCCAATGTCAACGTGAGCCAAGGCCTAGCGCTGCAGCTCCTACTGAGGTTGTCGTGGGAACAGGCCAGAAATAGCCTGTTCCTAAAACCCTGGTTTTGTGCCTGAGTGTTAGGGCAGGTCGATCTTATGAGGGCCCGAAAGTGGCCCTCCGTTTCAGGCTGAAAAGACTCTGGGCCTGAAAGGCCCTGTTTTAGGCTGAAACGAAATAGGGCCTGCAGGCCCTTGTTTTCAGGCTTTCAGGCTGAAACGACACAGGGCCTGTAAGCCCTTATTTTCAGGCTTTTAGGCTGCGGACGCTGGTCGGGCCCTGCAGGCCCGTGTGGCTGCGCAATATGCCACCCCCCCCCCTTCTTGAAAGACCGAGCTTACCTGCGAGGGCGAAGCTGTCTGTCGGAGGGAGGGACCATAGTCCGATGGGAGGGGCAGGTTGTGTCGTTCCCGTAGCTACCCGTTGTCGCTCGTAGTGAGTGTAGATCAGCGGTGCGGATGTTTTTAAATCTGCTCCTGAAATTCATCGAGTGTCATCGGGATCGCATGCTTTGAATGTAACCTTGTGCTGTCGAGGCTTGCTGCCGTACTTGCGATCCGTGATGACGCGGTCAACTTCCTGATGACCATCTATAGATGGAGGATCTTGCGATCTTCAGCCCGAGAAGTCGTCGCTCTTAGCTGGTGTATATGTCGCCAACTTCGAAGCATGGAAGACTGGATGGACCGTCAGATGCGGGGGGATGTTGATCACAAATGAGGGGCCATCAGGCTCGTCGCCCGCGGCTGATGTTACGGGCCATGGTCCAAACCACTTGGGAAGCAGTTTGCGTGAAACATCCTGCTCAAGTGCAAACTCTTCCGCGGAGACCCACACCAGATCACCGGCGCGGATGGGACATGGCACGCGACGCCTGTTGGCTTGCTGCTGCATGCAGACTTGAGCCTTTTGCATGTTCGCGCGGGCTTGAGCCAGCAATTCCCTGTACTTCCGGACGGAAGCGGGGGAGCAAGCAGCGTCTATGTCGGTTGTTCGTGGAAGGAGAAGATCAGCGAAGATACGGTCTTTCCGGCCATTGTGGTGCAACTCGAATGGAGTCACGCCGATCGTCGGATACAACGAAGTGTTGTAGGCGAACTCGATGTCGGGGAGGCTGTCAACCCAATCCTTCTGATCCGGACGGATGAGCGTACGAAGCATCATTTGAGCGGTTTGATATGCCCTTTCCGTTTGCCCGTCCGTTTGTGGATGCCAAGCCGAACTTGGTTTCATCTTCGTGTCGGATTCCTGCATGAGAGAAGTCCAAAATGTCGACATGAAGCGAGTGTCGTGGTCGCTGACGATGTCTTCTGGCACGCCGTGGCTGCAAATCCAGCCAGTGTGTAAGAGGCGCGCAAGTTCGGGAGCCATGGCGTAGTACTTGCAAGGAAGAAATTGCGCATACTTACTCAAACGGTCAGGGACCGTGAGGATGTCGTCGTGCCCGAGGCGGTCGCGGGGAAACAGACCGGTGACGTCCATGGCAATGGAGAGGCCGGGTTCCCGTGGGATAGGCATCGGGCGCAACTCGTCGTAGGGATTGCGGTTGCGGGGCTTGCTTCGTCGACAAACTTCACAAGAGTCGCAATACCGAGTGACATCAGTAATGAGGTCGAGCCATCGAAACCGTTGCCGAAGTCGTGCAATAGTGCGATTGACTCCGAAATGGCCGGTCAGTTGCGAGTCATGGTATCCACCAAGAAGGCGAGTCCGAAGACAACGGTCTCGTGGGACACACAATAAGTCCTTGCCTCTCGAGTGGAGGAGCAAGTACCCGTCGACAATGCGATAGTGGCTTGCCGGTGGGTGATCCGAAGATAGTTGTGCATACAACGTGGCGAAATCCAGATCAGACTCATAGCCCCAGATGAAGTGTCGCTGGAGTTCCTCGTCGAATGCGAAGGCATGATGTGTCATAGGGCAAAGGTCGGGTCTTCGCGAGAGTTCATCTGCTACGCGATTGGAGAGGCCGGCGAGATGTTTCGGTGTGAAGTCAAATTGGTCGATGAAGTACATCCATCGTCCAATCGTGCTGCGCACCGTATCCTGCATCTTGTAGTAGGTCAATGGGTTGTTGTCCGTGACCGATGTGAACCTACGACGCCCAAGGAGGAAGTGCCGCCATCGCTTGAGAGCCATCACGAACGCGAGCAGCTCCTTCTTCCTTGCATCATTAAGTGAATTGATGGGAGGCACTTTGTGGCTGAAATACTTCGGGGTGCCAGTCGCCGCCGTCGTGTTGTTCCAAGACTGCCCCAATGCCATAAGCTGGAAGCATCAGTTGTCACTCTCGTTGGCAGGGTGGGGTCGTAGATGCTAAGGACAAGTGCCATGAGCATGGCCGTCTTGAGTGCTTGGAATGACCGGCGTGCGTCGTCATCGAATACGAATGGCACCTTTGGCGATTGTAATCTCGTCATAGGTGCGACAATCCTTGAGTACTCGATGATGAAGCGTTGATAGTAGCCTGCCAACCCCATGAATGAGCGAACGTCTGTGGTGTTGGTGGGCTCGGGCCATACGCGGATGACCTCGATCTTGTCCGCAAGCAGATGGATGCCTTGCGGCGTCACACAACTCTTGCCGTGCGAATTCGCATTTATCGCGGTTGGCTTTGTACTTGGCTTGTTGTAGCCGCTCCAAAACGCTGCGCAGGTGCTCCACATGCTCGTCCAAACTCTGGCTGTACACCAAGATGTCGTCGAGGTAGATGAGTACGAATCTATCCAGCATGTGTCGGAACTCCGTTGTCATAGCCGCTTGGAATGTGGTCGGGGCATTCGTAAGGCCAAAAGGCATAACCAGCCATTCGAAAATGCCCATATTGCGTCTTAAACGCAGTCTTGTAGTGGTCCTCCTGCCGGATCTCGAGTTGGTGATAATCGATGCACAACCGCAAATCCTTGTTCTTCTTCCAGACGAAGAGAACGGGGGCACCGTATGGTGAAGAGCTAGGCCGAATCCAGCCTTTCTCGAGAAGATCGTCGAGTTGTGCCCGTAGCACACTTAACTCCTCCTCGCTCATGCAGTAGATGCAACCACGCGGAGGTATGGCCCCGGCCTCGAGGATGATCTCGTGGCGGATGGGCCGATCCGGTACCACTCCGTGCGGGGCTTCAAACACGTCGCCGTAGGCGTCAAGAAGCTCGGTGATGCATGGGTCCAGTGGTGATTCCGTCGATGGAATGTCTTGGGGCGGGAGGGCGTGGAGAAAACACACCCCCATCTCCTTGATGTCATCCCTGATGATGGAAGCTCGAATGCTTGCGGCGGACATCACATGGCAGCTGATTGAAGGGTGAGGAGGAGGTACCGTGCATGGGACTAGTAGTCTGTTCCGGTCACGAACGTGAACGGTGCGGCGGTAGAAGTTCACCGGGKGATCCTCGCTTCGCAGCCATGACATGCCCAAGATCATGTCGAACTTGGTGTCCAAAATGTCGAAGGACACGACCTCGCTTCCATGCGGGGCGAAGTACAAGGGGACGACATCAATGCACCGGTCGATTGACTTGTGCGTGTGACCGTCGGCCAACGTGACTTGCGTGGGCTGCGATTTCCTTCGAACGTGTGGCGTACCATAAAGTCTTGGCTCACGTAGTTGTGAGTAGCTACGCAATCGATCAAAGCGCTGCAGGTCGCCTCTCCGATCTAAATGCGTATGTACAATAATGGCGCGTCGATGTTGTCGTACCGTTGTGTCTTGAACTCGCGGTCGATCTTCACAATGTAGTCGTGAAGGTCGACAACCTCTACTTCGGCGTCCATCAACGGAGTTGGTACTGCAGTGTGCAAGTAATCCCGCAATTGTGCCATGTGCACCTTGCAATGCGGTTTCTGCAATCAATTGGACGGGGGATGGGGCATCTATTGGAAGTCCACAAATGTCAACGGGTCGAGCTCTTCAAGTCTTGACCATGTCGTCGAATCCCCGGTGATAGATGGCAACGAAGCTGCCGAATCGGTTGCCGATGGTAGTGAAACGGTGGAGTGGTTGGTCCAACGGTGGGACCAAGTGGACAACATAATCCTTGTAAGTGAAGCGAGGACTTGCGACATTCGCATCCTCCCCAGATGTGTAGGAGGCCGCTAGCAAGGCGGCCGAATCTGGCGGAGTGAGAGGTGGAGTCGCCTCACCTCCCGTGCAACTCAGTTTCCCGAGTTGATGCGAGGCCGAACATCCTCCTTGCCTTGATTCGGGCATTGGGAGGTCTTGTGCTTGGTGTTGTTGCACCAATAGCAGCAGCCATACCGGCCGCACCACTTGTATTCGGCCTCGGTCAAGTGAAACTTGACCCATGGAGTTGGTTGTCCGCTTCCGGCCGGCGATGCGGTTTTCGTCTTCCCTTTTCCTCGGGGGTTGCTGATGCTTCACGGCTGGACAGCGGCCACCTGCTCTCCCTCACGTGATGCTTGGGTGGCTGCCGGGTCTTCCACAATGTTGTCCGGTTGGACTCCAGCGACTTGCTGCGGACGCGGACCAAATTTTCCTTTCTCCACATAGGTTGGCTGCCATGCTGACTTCTCGTGTGCAGCCGCCCTATTGGTCTTGATGAGGCTCCCTTGTCTTGTCGATGATTTCGGCGAAGGTCACGTATTGCTCGCGATGGTTAACGGGGACCCCCATTTTCAGGCCCTGGGTAACAAGTCCAAAACTGAAATTAGGGTTTCGGGGTCAAATTTTATGGTTTTTTTTTTTTTTTTTTTTGCCTGTTCTTGTTTTGGTTCAAGGTTGGTGTATGCCAAATTTTGTGTCATTTGGAGAATTGGAATTTCCTCTGTTAAGATTTCTGAAATTTCTCAAGATTTCTGAAATTTCTCAAGATTTCTGAAATTGAGATGTTGGCGAAATTTCATGAAAATGCACTTTTGCCTTGCTGTTTTATAAGTTTTTTATTTTATTTATTTTTGGCTTTTTTTTTGCAATTAGTTAGTATGGTCTCCACTCTACGAATTGGTGGCAAGTTTGATTAAAATGACCCTTTGGTTTTCATATAAATGGCATGGCAAGTGGTCTGAAAATTAGGGTCTCCGTCAACCTTCTCTCGGCTCAAGGCGGCACATGACCAGTTGTAGAACTCCCTGCGTAGATGCGAAAATGGTAATTCGAGATCGGGCGTTGCCGCGATCTTTTGCCATTCCGTGAGCCAGTCGTGTGTCGATGTGTTGCCTTGCGTCATAGCGAAGAGGCGGTTGATGGCGAGCGCCGGGGCGTCGTCCACGATGAACTGCTTCTTCCATAGCCTTGTTAACTCTTCCCAAGAGATCTTCTCATGCAGATCTGCGACCTGGACGCCGTGAATGGTTGCCAGGTGGCTGAGCCAGATCTGGCATCCGCCCTTTGAATCAAGGAACAACGCGCCGATGTACGAGTGCTCGGGGACGAAAAGAATCCGAAGTTGCATCGTAAAGCCCTCCCACCAGGGGACCGGGTCTTGATGCGTATAATCTGCGTAGCACGGCGAACGTGTTCGCGACCTTTTCCGTTCAGGCGAATGCGTTCTCCCGTTCGCGCGAACGGGTAGAGAACACGTTCGCGAGAACGTGTTTTCAAGGCCCGCGAACGGGGTTCGCCTGGGCCTTGGAGGGGCCTGGGGAACTCAAGTGTGTGTGTGGGTGTGTGGGTGTGTGGGTGTGTGGGTGTGTGTGTGTGTATGTGTGTGCCTGTCTGTGTTTGTGTGTATGTGTGTGTATGTGTGTGTCTGTGTGTCAGTGTTAGTGTGTCAGTGTGTCAGTGTGTCAGTGTGTCAGTGTGTCAGTGTGTCAGTGTGTTTGTCTGTCAGTGTGTCTGTGTGTCTGTGTGTCAGTGTGTCTGTGTGTCAGACTGTGCCAGACTGTTTCGTCAGACTTTGAATTAGACTGGACCAGACTGTTTCACACACACTCTGATACACAGACGCACACACACACACACACACACACACACACACACACACACACACACAC